GTACCTGTTCAGCGTCCAAGCTGCGTGCCGACAGGCCCATGACCATAGAGGATGTTGGTGATGGAACCTGAGCCCGATCTTCTCCGCCAGACTCTCCATCATTGAAGCAGCTAGACCCCTGACTCTATGTACTGCATTCTCCGCCAAGGAATTTCCAGCTGAGTCATAGAGTTTTGTTGTGCGCATCGTGGTCTTCAATCCCATTGCTGTCCTTGATGAAACCAGAAGACGAACAATCTGCCTGGCTGTCGGCTCATTGTCGCAGTAGTACTGTACCGCTTCATGTCCTAAGACTTGGGTGAATGCCAGCAACTCATGGGTAATGAGATTCATCTGGTTCTTCGATTTCAATGGGAGACCTAGCAAAGATCCGGTCTCTGAGCACACCGCAATCAGCCAAAGTGCACCACTTTCTTCATCATGGACACCCTCTTGGGCTTGGTCTTCTTCCTCGGCTCCCAAAGCCGCTGACCCTTTTGCTTTCACTTTGCAAAAGTCGAATGAGATGGTCGGGCATCCTTGATCATGCGACTTACCACTTCTCCGGTGTTGGTCTGGTCGTGCACGATGCTTGATGCAAGCTGGACACCAAGGGGCGTAAGGAACGTGTGTCAGCTCGTGAGCTTTCCTCTCAGCTTCGGTTGGGACTTTAGCTGCCACCTGCTAGAAGGCACAGGCTGCTCTCAGGCTCCTGAGTGGACTCTCCAGTGTCAAGGTCACATGTTTCACCCTAATCTCTTCCGGGACAGCCACTCCAACTTCATACTGGACCATTTGATCATCGAGGTCTCGGCCCTGCTCCTGGTCTTCTCCTCCAGGAATCTCAGCTCCTCCAAGTTCCTCAAACTCATCATCTCCAGCCTGAGGGATTGCCAACTCTTCCATGTCTGGTTTGGGACCCAACTGAACTGCACCTCTGGTGCTACAAAGGTCATCACTTTGCTCAGACCCACTTCTCGAAGCTCTTCAATCTCACCTTCTTGTTCTTCGAGCCCATCTAATGGCTCAGCCATCTCCACAAGTTCCCAGCCTCCATTTCGTTCCACCAAGGTCGACCGGCAAACACCTTCACCTTGATCACGAAAGCCAGGAATGAACTGTGGACTCTGAAACTTTGTGCTGAGGTGCAGTCCGACCCAGAAGTCATCCTTCTTCTTCCAGCCATAGCCACTGTTGGCCATGCTTTCCAGCTCACTTCCAAGCTTGACTCCCAGCGTGCGAATCACCATGGGCTCTGTGATGACTCGGATCGAAGCATCCACCACCAAGCTCTGATTCTGAAACGCTAACGGGACCTCCAAGCTTCCATTCTTGAGGCACTGCTTTCGTCCATCAATGGACCATCCACTCCTCATCAAGCGACCGAAAGAAAGAATCGGCTGGCTGACCATGTCACTAAACGTGACCTTCTCTTTCAGGACCACGCACTGGCCCTCGGACGTCACCATCATAATGTCCACGTCCTTGTTGCCATAGCTTTTGATCTTCTTGCCTTGGGCATCCTGTAGATGGGGTGCCTCCTGCAGTGTCCTGTCGTTCACTGTCTGCTCAAGGAACCTTCCTGGGAAGATCGACGCATCAGCACCTGAGTCGACAATCACCTTGAACGATTGCCTTTCTCCACCTTCTTCGTAGAGCTCCAAGTTCACCTCCTCATTATCGGTCTCGACTACCGTGTTCACCATGTAGCCGTCATACTCATTCTCATCATCAGAGGCGATGTTGAAAAATTCAACTTGGCTCACCATTCGAATTGCACCAGCATCACTCCCTTCTCTCAAGTCGAAGATCACTGGTTGTGAAACTCGTCGAATGTTCTTGGCATTTGAATTCATCTCACCACCTCCACCACTTGTCAAGCTTGTTGTCAAAGTAGTCGAAGGTGAAGTCGTGTGTGAACCTGCAATGCTTTGGGTGGCTGGCGACTCCACCTGTCTCACACGCCAGCAATCTTTGGCCATGTGGCCCAGCTTGCCGCAGGTCCAACACACCTCACTGGGATTCTTTCCCTTGCCACCTTTTCCTTCCTTGCCACCACCCTTGCCTTTCCCATCTTTGCCACTGGATTTGCCACCTTTTCCTTTGCTCTTGGACTTGTCCTCTTTGCCCTTGCCCTTGCCCTTCTGCTCCTTCGACTTGTTCTTGCCCTTCTTTCCATCACCTTTGATCCTGTCGACCTCCATTGGCATCGCACCATTGGGATCATTCATTGGGCTCACTCCAGAAAAGGTCAAGGCACCTGACTCATTCCATTTGGTCGTAGCAGTGTCAAAGGCGATGATTGCTTCCCTGATCTTTCCGTAGGAACTGCCTTCGTTCAGGGTCAAGTTTAGATGAGTTTTCATCTGGCCGGACACAGCTCTGAGCAGGACAGCGGATTTCATGTCCTGGGACAGCTTTCCACCAAGGCGCTCATACTGCAGGTAGTGTTCCTCTAACTTCAGGATTTGAGGCAATAGAGAACTCTTCATGTTGAAACTCGGATAGGACATTATGCCCTGCAGCAAGTTCATTGTTCTGTTTCTGGCTTGAGGTTGACAGTTCATCAACAGCTGCCTGAGGGCTTCCATGCCGTTGAACTTCTCCACATTCTTTACCACTCCAATCAACCTTCCTTGTACCAAACTTCCCAACAAACTGTAGAGAAATCGACTCCGCTGCTGTTCACCTTCATCTAAGAGCTCCCAATCCACCTCTGTTCCAGGGTTGGCCTCAAGCTTCTCCAGCTCCTCCTGAAAGGCACTGTCCACCACCACCAGGTACTGCTTGATCGTCCAGTACCAGTCTCTCCATTGCAAGACTTCCTGCTCCCGGTCGATGGGGTTGAAGGCACCGGGTCTCGGTATCAGCTTGGCCAAATCCTTCTTCAACACTCCATGCTCTTCACCTTGTCCTCCTGCTTGTCCACTCGACGCCGCCGCCTGCGCTGCTTGAGCAGCTGCTGTTGCAGCAGCTATGACAGCTTGTGCAAGGCCGCTCATCTCCGACTGGTCCATCGTGCTTTGGTGCTCTCCACCAACCTCCTCAGTCACCAGCCAGTAGAACCTCCTGTAGTCCAAGGGCGTCGAAGGTGAGGATCTCCTTCAGGTACTCTCAGGCAAGGATTGCGAGAACGTGCTACACCAGTTTATGGGTGGCTCGGCGGGTGGCGCGCTCAAACAAAGGCCTTTAAACTGGAGCTCCAGTCAGCACCAAGCCTTGGGTGCTGACCTTCTCAGCTCCGCTACCATGCGAGCTTTTCTCGAACCTCAAAGGCCTGTATGTCGGTTGTTTGTACAAGTCATTTCAAGGTGCGGAGTCAAGTGGCTTTGTTTACACAATAATGTAAAAATCATAAACGATGACAAACGATCATAGAAGAATAGTCTTTCCAATAATAAAAGAACAAAGTGCGGGGTGCGGTCACAACACGACGCACGGCAACGCAAACGACGGCAACTATCAGGCTTCTGGATATACAATTTACAGGACAGTAACCTACTACATAGACAGATTGCATCTTTAGAATCTGGCTGAAGCTATGATAGAGTGCATCCTCTGTAATTTCTTGATGTTGGTGGAGACCCTTGAGATGGCCGCGTGCAGAACAAGGTGCCCAGGACAAAGGATTAGGGAGTAAAAGCTTCCATGTATGTTTTGGATACTGTTCGTGGACTTCTCCATGCAAAAGGGTTCTTTTTTTCGGTATGGGTCAGGGGTATGGATCGGACAAGTCAAACTTCCCTTCCGTCTTTTCACAAAGCAAGCGTGACCATTAAAAGAACACATGCGAATCAAGAAGACCCAGGTGACCATTCTGGTGGTCCTTTCCACTTTTCTGTCAGTTCGGTTCATGGGTTCATAATTCAAGCCATCACCGGTGGCCATCAACGAGGGGCATCACAAGGTATGCGAAAAACACAGCTGGCAAGAGTGCGACAAAATGATGGCATCTAGATCATAAGAAAAAGAACTGGATCAACAAAAGTAAGAACTTCGCCAAATTTGCAAATATTAGGAATTTCACAAATCTCGTGCTTTTCGACCAATAGACCAGGAGACCAGCAGACCAGGAAAAGGACCATGGGACCAAAGGACCAGGAGACCGAAGGACCAGGGGACCGATGGACTATAGGACCATAGGAGCTACTCAGGAGTAGTAGCTATTATTTTTGTTTGATCCTGTTCTTTCTTTGATCTAGATGCCTCTTGGGAGGTAGTAGGTAGTAGGTAGTGGGAACTAAATAACTACTTAGTAGACAGTAAGTTGTAAGTCATATGTCGTAGGTAGTAGGTTTATAGCAGGTAGTGGTCAGAAGGAGTAGTCGGAAAAGTACAATATCTCACTCAAAAGTATTGAGTCGAAAGCTTTTGAGTCTGTATGACTGATAAAAATACTTTGATCTGACAAGCTTGAAGAGGCATCGACCAAGAGTTTTGGAAGCACCCACACAGCCATTAACACCGTGACCGCACTCTTTTGATTTGACTTGATATGCCATATACTATTGTGTGAACACAACTTGTTCAAGCTGTGTTCTTTAGAATGAACAAAAAAATCTACGAAGCACAGCACACCCCCTGGTATTGACATCCAAACATGTGGGGGCTTGCTACGATGCTTTTTGTTCAATTCACTAATCAATCGAGTCTTTTGTTCCTTTCTGGGTTCGAGTGGCTCCAAAGTCTGCTGTTCCTTGCTGCTTCAGAATTCTTCTGAGTGGGTTTGGACAAAGGTTTCAATTGTACACGGTGTCATACAGTGTCTATATAACGTTGGAATTGTCGTCGGTTTGAGCTGCTTAATTATCTTTCTTGACATATCTTTCTTTTAAAGCAGAGTGGATGGAAGAATGCGCTTGGCCGCAGTGGAAGTGGTGAAAGTGGTGATGATTTGCGGTAGTAGTGGTGGTAATGGTGGATAGGTAAATCATATCATGGCATCTTCCCGTCTATTCTGCGGTGCTCCCCGAAAACCACCATCCGAAGACACTTTACATGCAAAGCAAACGCCAAGAATCTGAAGTGATGACCATGTCCAAGGAATTGCCGGCGTGCAGCCGCCAAGGCTGAAAACGACAAAGCAAACACCTCAAGACGCAAAACACGCACACCTTGACTGACAGCAATTAACCTGCGCACTCCACGACCACGCAGCCACGTAATTGTCAAAATGCAATCGTCTTTGTCTTACCTAGCTTCTGATTTGCAGGGAATTGCAGGGATTGCTCATTCTCTTATACTTTTTAAATGGATGTTTCGTTCAAACTCGACGCACAAGCGCTCTACTCTCTGTGGCTAGTTTCCACGCCAACGACAAGTAGCAAGTAGATCAGCTGCAAAGCCTGAAAACCTTAGCCGTCGGAAGCAACATCGGCAATCCTCCTTGCATTGTACATAAGAGATGGTTTGGAACCACTTATATAACAAATTGCACCAGCCCAAATATGCTCATACAAACAGCTCGAAACAAACAAACAAACAAGCAAACAAACAACCAAACAACCAAGCAAGCAAGCAAGCAAGGCCCGATTCTCTCCTTGCACCCGATCTTCAACATTTCAGAGACTTGCAACAAGAACAGCATCATAGCCTAAAGCAACTTGAAAATCAACTTGGAGAAGGTCTTTTACATGAGGCACGAAGGAAGAAAGTCTCTTTATGAAGAACTCTTTCTGGCACAAAAATGCCTACCGGGCCTCCGGCGTGAAAGTTTTTCAAAATCATGTGCTCCATATAGGTCCCAGGCAATCATGTTGAAATTTTTGCGACCCTACAAATCCAACCCTTCATGTCGGCAAGCCACATGTGACCTGAAACACCGCATCAGGGACCGTGGACACCCCTGGCACAAAGAGATTCCGGAGCACCACGATCAGGACGAACCAATAGGCCTGATTTCTTGAAAAGGTCCCAAAAGAAACGTACGCTTGTCAAGCAAGCGGCACCAGTTAACAGTTAACATCTTTTGAGCATTCTTGAGATCAAGGTGCTACAATGGTTGACTGTTCTTGAGAAGAGAACAGGCATCCTCACTTCAGCCAGCTAGCTTCAAATTCCTGAACCTAGAAACTCAAAGTGGGTTGGGCAGTCATTGCGTCTCAAAGCTCCATTGATACTCAGCGTCTCTCATTGGTCTGAAAGTCCAAGGCCACAAGAGTGAATAAACCTCTGATTCACGATGATTCACGTATAATGTTGCAACATGTTTTGTTCTTTGGGGATCTCCCAAAGCGAAATACATCCCCGGACCCCCCACACCGTAAAGCCATGCTTATAGTGTTCGCCGTAATGAATCAAGGCTTCTGTGCTTTCTCATGGGATTTGATTCCACCCTGTCCGATCTGCTTGGCACATGGCCTCCGGATTCATCCGCATGAAGAGAAATCCACTGGCCTTGAAAAAGGCATCGTTGTTCCTGGCTTCCAGGAATCGAAGGTATCCTTTTTTCCGGTGTGGCTTCGCTGCGTTGCAGCTATAGAATGAATTTGTTTTACAACACTGAAAATGCAAACATCCTTTTTTCTGGATCCCCTAGACCAATTGGGCTGGAAATGGTCGAACATGTTTGTCTAAAGAAAGGATCAAGCTACTTCTGTGTATTTATATTACCCCCCTGGGGGGGGGGGGTCAAAAATGTAACTTACAATTATGGGTGTGTCAAAATGCAGGTTTTGGAAACGGTGATTTTTGTTGATTTTTGAACATACAGGTCTAACATACCTGCATCTGACAACACAGGGGTCAAAATTGTAAGTTGCATTTTTGACCCTCATCTTTGTTTGTTGAGCCTGTACGCCGTACGCGCTCAAAAATTGTGAGTTACATTTTTGAGGGTCAACTGGATGCATGCCCCCTGACCCTTCTCCGTGGAGTACCTGCCCATCCATTCTTACAATTTTGAACCCTCCCCCGCACCCCCTGCTTTCAAAGTCTCAAGACGTAGGCCTTTGAGGGGGGTGGTTAAGAAAAGTAAGATCCTCGTATAGGCTACCTCAATCTTAGATCTAACAATTTTCACCCCCCAGGAAAGGCGTTATATAATGATATCATCGCAAAATCAAAATTTGTAAGTTACAAATTTGACCTGTCAGGGGGGTCAGGCACCGCAAGGGGGTAGCGATGAGAGAGAGAGAGAGAGATAGATTATGAAATATGATAATATGATGTTGCCACGCGAACACTGAAAGTGGCTCTAGAATAATCATTCACCCGGTTGCTCTGGCCTGGCCAGTTGTGCTGGACATTGATACACCAGCACCGCACAAGTCGTAACCCAGCTGCAAATAAGTACCACCTGGGCAGGTGTCCAAAGTAAGATATCCATCTGTCTGACAGAGCAGCCTGCCAACACAATGTTTACCCTTTGTTTGAGTTCAAAGTTTTCCTGACTCCTGTGTAGATGGATATATATCCAAAACTCAATGGTCAAATGGCGTCCTTGCTCGATGGCGAGAAGGAATCTACAACACTTGTCAGACTTGTCATAAATCTACGCATTTTTAATACAAGTAACCGAAAACAAGCCCAAGATCGCCATAAACATCCAGTCACCATCTTCTTCCAAACCTGACTGATGACGCTGGATTGAAGTCTTGCGAGCTGTCAGTCACCACTTAAAATGTCCAAGTAAACAGGTTGGCTGCAAAAGTGTTACCCATGATGTACATCTTGCTATTGGAGAATATCCAGTACGGCCTCCGCGCCTTTTACCGAGACCCCATTTCACACAGAGGAACTTGTAAGACTGACACATCATTTGAACACATCATTTGAACCCACACGATCTTGAAGTTTACAATACAATGGATGGGCCATACAAAATCCACCCATCTGCTGTATATATATATATACCTGAGAAGGGAGGGGACGAAAGCCAGCCACCGTAAAACACATCAATATGGTCAAGGGGGGTGAATGCGAGATCCCTCCTGAGTTCCCCACCTCCCCCACCTCTTTTCCTATCACGTCCTTCTCCGCTATGCCTGTCTCATCCACATGAACTCCCACTCCCACCCCATATGGGGTGCCCTTTTGAGTCTGGCTACTAGGCCTAGGCCTCTTCACCGTTAAAAAAGAGCACCCCCAAACAATTCAAAGCTTGCCCGCTGCATTCCTGCCCTCCGCATCATTACATCCTATGGGGTGCCCTTTTGCGTATGGTTGACAGGCGTCTTCACAATTTAAAAGGGCACCCCCAAGCAACTCCAAGATTTCTTGCCAACCCTCTTTTCCTACCCATCCTCCTCCGCTTTGCCTGTCTTCCACCTTACCCACAGCATTCTGTTCCCTCTCCGGCCCTCACAGATTGTAGAGTGTCTTAACCCTCCCTCTCACGCCCAGTCGAACACAATTTCAATGGCCACCAGACGCGCATCTCCCGCAGGAAATCCATGCTTCCCTTGGCCCCCTCTTTCCTATCATCGACATGAACTCCCACCCCTCGTAGAAGACAGTTTATAAAGTTTACATTGCCTCCTGAGCCCCTCATGACGCTGATGATGCAGTACTCGCCGTCAATGACATCACTTGCATTACAACACCCCAAAACCCACTAATTTTCACCACCTCCTGGCCACCTCCTTTTTTCGCTCTCCCCCGCCATGCTCTGGGCTAGCTCTCCGAAATTGGTCCGCGCGCACCCCCCCCCCCACACCCCCTTTACTCCTTTACTCGTGCACTTCGTTTTCCCAACCAACTTCAGCCTATAGGTCCCGGGTCTAGTTCGGGGTCCATGGCTGAACGAGCGACGAACGCCCTTCCTTGAGCATAGGGCCAAGATGCGCACCAGATAGCTTAACTTTGCTCAATATAGGCCCCACCAAGGCCAACATAGGCGTGGCATACACCCAAGTGGGCCGGCGCCCGGCTGTTAGGCGTAAGCCTTTAAATCCGGGCGCCGGCCAGGAAGCCCGTGGCATGCCCGGAGGGCCTTCGGTGGTAACCGAAGGTTGTAGACGCTCGCCCCCCCACCCGCCGACCCTCGTCACGAAAAACGGGGGGACCCCCTTCCCACTTCCTGTTCACTGAAGCCCCTGTAATTTACAGTGTATCGTGTGTATGAGGTAAAAAACAATGTGTTTTACATGGTTTTGGGCCCCTCGGCGGCCGAGAATTTCATTTTGGCGATGTAAAAAAAACGTAGGTTTTTTTCCAGGGTTTTTGCTTTACAGGAAGGAAAAATTCGGAAAAAGTGCTCTCGGAGAAGAGTTTTTCAACATAAATTGCCGAAGATATCCACAACATGGGCCTAAGATAGCCAACATATCCCCAACATATGCCCAACATAGCCTCCAAGATGGCTCAAGATAGAGCCAACATAGGCCAACATGGGGCCAACATACGCCAACATAGGCCCAACATAGGCCCAACCTAGGCCAACATAGGCCTAACATAGACCAACATAGGCTCAACATGGGCCCAAGATGTGCCCAACATAGACCACATGGGCCCCACTTGGCACAACCTAGGGCCAAGATGCGCACCAGATAGCTTAACTTTGCTCAATATAGGCTCCACAGACCCAAGTGGGCCTGCGCCCGGCGGTTAGGCGTAAGCCTTTAAATTTTCTTGAACATTTGCTTGGGCTTGGGCCTTAGTAGACTGGGCATGGACTTTATCGACTCCCGAGGCTTCCCGCTAGCCCTCTCCACTTCCTCCCTGTCTGGATTCTTCAAAACTCTAATAAAGCTTCGTGGTGGGTGGCAGCCCTAGCATGCTCAAAGCCTTCTAGGCTTCTTCCTGCACTCTTTGGATCTCCCTAGAAGCTTCCTGGATGGCGGTTTGTGCAAACTCTTCGGCTTGATGCTGGACCCTTTGGGTCTCAACAGATGCTTCCGCGTTTGCAAAATGGGCCGGCGCTATAGAACAAATGGATCCATGCTCACACGCAAATGCTGGTGTTCATGTGGCTCCTGCAATGCAATACATCTTGTTGGAACACTGTAGGACACTCACGCGAAGCAAATCTTTCGGCTGACCTGACCAGGCGACCCCATTGGCGAGCCCTGTGCATCTAAACCCCCAACGAAGGAATTCTGACAATGTCGGTGGGCTTTCCGGACCCTGGCCGAAAGGTTTGATGCTGAGCTGGCCTGACCTGTTCAGGGCGAGTTAATGATACTCCGGCGCTTGGGGGACTGGGGTTGATTGAGCAGCATGATGTTTGACTCATGCCTATGACTGCTTCGAGGTCTCTCCGAGTTAGCTTCATTGGCTTCGGACCTATCTTGGGCTTCAAGTCCTGACATAGCATGCTTAAATTCCTTTCCGCACTCCCTTCGTCTTAATCTATCAAGCGCTCACAGCCGTAACGCTGCAACGCAACGTATTTCCAAGCGTGAACGGTCAAAAGAAGAGGTGTTGGGAGACAGGACACCCTGAGCAGGACCGAAGGGCCGCACACGTGGCGTGAGGGGCCTCTGACGTGAATGGGACCGAAGGGCCGCACACACGCCGCGAGGGGACAGGACCACCTCTGACGTGAATAAGGGAACGAAGGCCCGCTCACGCGCCGCGAGGGGCCAGGATAGAACAAGCTATGTCCGAATAAGCCTATACGGCTGATAACCCCGAGAACTACACGAGGTTCCCGGGTCTAGTGCGAAGTCTATGGCTGACCGCCCGGGCCGCGCGCATTTTTCATTGACCCTTGAGCCAAAATATTATCATCCATGTATTGTATTCAATGCCCTGACCATGGTTGGTGCACAAGTCTGCATTCCTTTCTTCTGAATGATGTGAAAGAGTTGTGAGTCAGTGTCAATGACGAGTTGTTGCGTGAAGCGAGGTCATACGATAATGTGTGACATCATGGCTCCTGATGCTGCGATGTCTCTGGGTAAAGTCCGTTGCCCTTTTTGTTCTGGTGTTGTTCTGGTGTTCAGGTGCTGATTTGTGAGTGAATGAGTTGGTGACTGAGAGTGAACAAGCGGGCGAATCAAGGAGTGAGTGCATCGAGAAGTGAGTGAGTAGTGAAGGAGTCGGTGAGCCAAGGGGTGAATGAGTCAAGGAATGATCGAACCAAGGAGTGAGAAAGTAAAGGAGTGAGTGAGTCACGGAACGAGAGGGTGAAGGAATGCAAATGAATGAATGAGTTATTCGAAAAGTGAGAGAATGAGCGAGTGAGTGGGATTCCTTTGACACCCATAATGGCTATCCGCTGCACTTCTCTTTAAACCCAACCAAAATACAAAAAGCATCCGGATCCTGCCAGGGAACTGCAAATCACGGTGGGATACTTGATCACTGTTGCAAGCTGGTTGGGATGCGTCATGCACTCCTTGGTGTCGTGGCGAGGCCCCGGCTGCCTTGCTGCTTCTAAGCCGTGGCAGCCAACAAGAAAACTCAGTGGCCTTTACTTTGCGGCATACGAATCCAACTTCTTTACAAAGCATACATGCAGCTTTTGCTGTTCAAAGATCCATTTCATCTTGCATGTTCAGGCCAATATTTTGGCTGTCAAGTAGCCAATGCGTCCATTGCATTGTGTTTGGGGTCCAATTCAGGTGCTTTGGGACAAGTTGAATTCTGCTATACTATCTGCTTGGTAGATTGTAGGCCTGGGCTTTCGAAGACATACAGCAACTGTCCGCAATCTTGAACTGAAGCTTAAAACCTCTCAAATTGTCTCTTCAAGCCCAAGTCATATCCACATGATGACCAACGAGCATTTTGGGGTGCCCTCTCTCCCCGCATTGCAGCTCATTCTCCGGTACATCTCGAAAGAGTCGGCAAACACTCCAAAGCCGAGACCCTCCTAGTTCCTTCGGCGTGGCCACCTCTTCGGACCGTTCATGTGCATGCTTAGGCCAAGAGTCAAATGGCACGAGGGCAGCATTTGCGATCCTTAGCTTCAACGGGCAGTTGAGAGAAACCGCTGATCACATCCGTGACATACTCATAGCCAGCTCAGCTTCCCCAAACAGAAGAGGCATGATCCAAGGCTTGAAAGATCTGAGACATGAATTCTTGCCTTGTAAACTAAAGAACATGCAACTCACTGTTGAGTCACAATTGTTCTCCTCTTTGAAGCCCAGCTAAGCCACACAAGTCCTCCATCTGATGGACCGGATTGAAGAGAAGCTGAAAGTCTCAGAAGAAGTACCCATACACCATGTCCACAGACACAAAGTGCTTCCAACAAGGCACCGAGCAAGAAAGGTAATCTTCACGGGTCAATGTTCAACTGTACAAACCAGACCGTGCGATGCTGTTGAAATAGTTCAAACATGAAGTCTCCGCTATATTCTAAAGGAGTGAAGCTTCAAGAGAGAACTGCCCATCCTGGCCATTCGCCAGGCCACGCAATCTGAAAGAGGAGAAAAATTGTCCCCAAGACCCGCATCAAGGCGGGCCAGCGGGCGCCGAAGGCCCCCCGGTGTTGTAGAATCACATGGCCAAGGTGGACAACGAAGAAGGAAAAGAGCCTCATTGCACTCATTGATGCATGGAAGGTCAAGGCACAAAGGAAGCGTTACAAATCTACAAAACCAAGTTACAAAAGCAAGGAAGGAAGAGAGAAAGGTCATCCACAAAGGAAAAAACGTGTCTCCTTCCATGTTTAGTTGTTGTGGGGTTCCCGGGAAAAAGGCCTGACACTAAGCATCGAACCCTGCCTTAATCGCTCGGATGGGAGATTCGGGAGTTGTCTGACGGGCCGGCGCCAGACATATCAGCACCCAAAATCCCAACAAAATTTAATTGGACATGGTGAGCCCATGCAGGTTGAATCCAAATATGAACCGTCAATTGCAGCCGAACCTCCTGAACACCTAGAAATAGTCAGGCAATGTCAGGCATATGAAGATCCACATGATCCCTTGAAATCGCTATGGATTTGCCATAACTTTCATCTTGGCCCTTGGCTTTTGCCGCCGTTTGAGTTTTGTGGATGTCGTGTGCACTCGGTCGAACGGGAGTTGGGGACATCAGATGGCCAAATGACTTTCTCTCCGGAACTCAAGACAGGGTGACTCTTAGAGTTGACCGCGATGGCAGGCTTAATTCATATGGGAGTGCCGATTGTCGAGAGCGTGGCAAAGGATCTAGCGAAAGAATTGGGTATCAGATCAGATCCTTCCTTGCCGCTGTCCAACATTTCAACGTGTGATAATGTGTGGCTGCGACAAGCCTTGACAGTTTGACGACCTTCTTACACAGCTTTCTCCACAAAGGAGCCAGAGCAAACATTCGGCTTCCAGCAGACATCTCATTCGCCGCTGATTCGGCCATTATCTAGACCAATATCGTGCCATGCAAATTGCCAGCAAAGCATGGTTGGGGGCTTGTTCGGAAATGGCAAATCTGAAGAGACAATGCTGGGCTAGTGACCTGCGCCAGTGAGCAAAAGTTGTGGCCGGAGTGATGAAATGAGACATCCAGAAGCCCAACAGCTGTTCTTGCATATGTCAACGATCTATTGAACCATTGGTCGGGTCGATGTGAGCTCGGCAATAGAATAACCATTGAAGATCAGAATCACCGGTTCAATCACAAGCTCGAATGCGAAACGAGGAAGGCACGGAAATCATACTTCCTCAGAACACCGGTTTCCTGTTGGTTCGTGTTCCAATCTATTCACAAGAGTTGTTTGTCAAGGAACCATTTTACGCTGACCTCAAAGACACCTATCCCCCCAGACTTGCTTAAGATGTTAGAGGGAGCTTTAACCTACAAGAAAATCGTGGGAAAGTTTGCGCGCTGTGGTGCCAGTCACGCAAGGTTCATTTCATTGTTGGCCACAGGACAAAGTGACCACGCGAATATCCGTGAAAACATGCTGGGGAAATACCTTCGTTTAGTTCGGAGTGCTGCCCACCAGTACCACAAAAGTTTCCAGCCGAGCGTTCGAAGATCAGGACGTTCACATGGGTCACGCGCTTGAAGCATGGTCCGATCACTCATCCAGACATGAAGGGGAAACCATCAGGATCCTCTAGCGTCCTTCGCGTCTCCGAACCAGGTGATTTGGGCATTGAACAGGTTGAGACTTTAGAGCCTTGGGCAACTTCAGGCGGTTCGTTCCTGAGCTATTCAAAGAAGAGAAGGAATTCCATGCGTAGAATAGGGCACGTCACATACCATTTGACCGTCGTTGCACAATCTGTTTGAAAAGCGGTTCCACGATCTGATCCATCATGCCCGTGCCAGAGTCTGGATCCACTCCACTTGACAAGTTGCTTTTGGATCTGCTGACTTCTTTTTCATTGGAACGGAGTCACACAAGTTTCTTTTGTTGGCTGACGCTGGGACAGGGATGCTAGGGATTGCAATGTGCGGGACAAACAGTGATCAGACGTTGGGAGATTGCAGACGATACTGTGTTTCAATCAGCTGGGAACTGAAGCATCCACAATCACAGAAGAAGCGCTCACAGATTCGGAGTGGCACTAGGAACTCTCAAGAGGCTTGGCCTTCGGTTGACCATCAAAGCTGCAGCGCCCCAGGGTCATCAGACGGTGTAACGAGCCGAACGGAATGTCCGCCGCATGAAAGAAATGGAGGCCTGTTTCCACGTTGAATGGACCTCCATGACCATGGATCCGAGAACACAGTCAAACTCCTGATCGTAGTGCTTGCAACTTGACGAGTAGGCATGGACCAATGGAAAAAAACACGATGCAATGCATCACGCTGTAGGAGCTATCGTGATTGGGTTGAGGCTGAGCGTGTTCGATTGAGTGAGCCTAATCCTAAGCCAGGGCAAAAATCGCAGTTTTCGGAAACCAGGCCTGGCCAGCCCACAGGGTGCATTCGATTCCATGAGAAGTGAACCCCCATCTCACGCAAGTGACAGGGAACTCGTCCTGTTGCCGGATGGGTCGATGTCAGACGTTCGAAGGGATCTTTAGTCTACAAAAGCCTGTTGATTCTACTCATGCACGATGATCCAGATCCTGCTCCCTGAGCCGGATCTTAGACAAACTAGACGACGAGTGGCCCGAAAGCATTTTTCATCACGTAGGAAGTCAGAGTGCGAGTTATCTGTTAAGTGTGCAGTGTGAAGTGTTAAGTCGAGTGAGTTGAGGTAGTGTGTGGGTTTCTGTGTGTGTATCTATGTCCGTGTGTATATGAGTCTGCGTATGTGTGTGTTCGTGTAAGTTGAGGCAGTGCGTGGGTGTCTGTGTGTGATGCGGCCTCCCAAACCCCCCACCGGCGGCCAAGCGGTGACAGCCCTGCTCCTCGTCATGAGCATTTGAGCTGCTGGTAAGGGGAGAAGCAGCGTGCACGTCGCCAGGAAAAGCTCACGCACAAAAACGAACCGGAATGAGGACAGAAAAGTGCCGAGGCAGGTACGCAACAAGTGTGTCAAAGCAGTGACCTGTCAGAGGAGATGAACGAAGCAGCGCGCAGGCCTCCCAAACCCCCACCGGCGGCCAAGCGGTGACAGCCCAGCTCATCGTCGCGAGCATTTGGGCTTTAAGGGGAGAAGCTGCGTGCACGCCTCCAGGACATCTCGCTGAAAAAAGCAAGCTGGAATGAAGCGTACTAAAGTTGTACTACAAAGTCGCCAGTTCTCATCTTCCAGGTCATTGCTCCGCGTACTAAAGTTCTACTACCCAGTCGCCAGTTCTCATCTTCCAACTCCCCAGATACTCCGCGTACTAAAGTTGTACTACCAAGTCGCCAGTTCTCATCTTCCAGCTCCCCAGATACTCCGCGTACTAAAGTTGTACTACCAAGTCATTGTACTACCAAGTCACCAGTTCTCATCTTCCCACTCCCCAGATACTCCGCGTACTAAAGTTGTACTACAAACTCGCCAGTTCTCAGCTTCCAGCTCCACAGCTACTCCGCGCACGACAGTTGCACCACAAAGTCGCCAGTTCTCATCTTCCAGCTCCCCAGCTACTCCGCGTACTACAGTTGTACTACAAAGTCGCCAGTGCTCATCTTCCAGCTCCCCAGATACTCCGCGTACTCAAGTTGTACTACCACGTCGCCAGTTCTCAGCTTCCAGCTCCACCGCTACTCCGCGTACTAAAGTTGCACTACAAAGTCACCAGTTCTCATCTTCCAGCTCCACAGATTACTCCGCGCACTGATCGCACTCTCGCCTGCATTTCGTGGACTCGACACGCACGATCTCCGCAGAGGGTTGCGCGCGCTCAGACCCTATCGCACTCTCGCCTGCACTTCGCGCACTAGACACGCACGATCTCCGCAGAGGGTTGCGCGCGCAGCCAAATCGCACTCTCGCCTGCATTTCGCGCACTCGAGACGCACGATCTCCGCAGAGGGTTGCGCGCGCACCGGACCAATCGCACTCTCGCCTGCATTTCGCGCACTCGACGGGTTGCGCGCGCAGCCGGCAAATCGCACTCTCGCCTGCACTTCGCGCACTCGACACGCACGATCTCCGCAGAGGGTTGCGCGCGCACCGGACAAATCGCATCAAATCGCACTCTCGCCTGCATTTCGCGCACTCGACACGCACGATCTCCGCAGAGGGTTGCGCGCACACCGGACAAATCGCGCCCTCGCCTGCATTTCGCGCACTCGACACGCACGATCTCTGCAGAGGGTTGCGCGCGCACCGCACCAATCGCACTCTCGCCTGCATTTCGTGCACTCGACACGCACGATCTCCGCAGAGGGTTGCACTTTCGGTTGACGCTGTTCGTCCCACCTTCCGCCTTTAAGAGAGAATTTATAAAGTGGGGAAATGTTTTTCATTAGGACATCTCCCGTGCTAGTTCATCACACTTGCATACTCATTGCATGCTTGCTAGTTCATCACACTTGCATACTCATTGCATGCTTGCATACTCATTGCATGCTTGCATGCTCATCATTAGACTTGCATACTTTGACACTTGCATACTTTGCACTTGGATGCTTTCGCTCTTCCAGTGTGTGTGTGTGTGTAAGTGTAAGTGTCGAAGTGTCAGTGTTCAAAGGATTTTCCGGAAGAACCCTTCGCAATGCTTTCGGGAAAAAGTGAACAAAATTGTTTTTAGGAAAAAACACCTTGCAAAAGAACATGTATTTCTGTGCGAATCACAATGTACTGGTGTCCCTCGCACTTGACCTTTCATGACTCAACAGTGCAGGGGAAATCCATGGAAATCCTCATCTTACATCATCTTTCTATACCCCCTCAAGTGTTCATCTGTTTAATGGAAGGCCTGCCCCCACCCCATCTTTGCCAAGGTACAGAAAGAAGCTGATGATCAGCCTGTCACTGTCAGCGAGGCTCAATTGTTCACCGGATTCAATCAAAGGTCGCATCAGAAAAAGTCTCCAAGACACAAATGATCACAAATGTCAGTGGAATCTACAAATGGAACAAATGGATCGATATGATTGTACGTAGGTGTGGTTTTCTAGAGCTGCTGCTACGGAGGTAATACTACACTTGCATACACTTGCTAGAATTGCTTTCCTGCTGCAATCTTGCGTCGGTGCATTAGTCTCGTGCTGGGATCTCGCTTCGGTTACTCTTGCTGTTATCTTGCTTCAGTAAACATGTCGGCAAAATCAAATATAACGGTCGTTGGAGTCGACCCTCTTCTACATACTCTTTCCTTCCACGCTCCCGGGCTCCGTCGTCTAGTTTGTCTTCGCCGTCCCTTTTTGCACGACTCCGAAATCCAACCTGGCAGCATATCGCCAAAAGGCCGGCAAAAATAGCACGCAGCCAGTACGCAGCACCTGCGTGAGATGGTTTGGGGTTTGGGGGCGGTGTGAGCCAATGAGCTACGGTGTTGCCAAAGGTATTGACAAAAGAAGAGCAGGGATGTTCAGACCAATAAGCCAAACAACTGACACAAAAATCACAAGAAGTTTCAAGTTTGATCCACTTATCAGTGGTATAACGATTGAGCCGTGTTTTTCTAAGGTACAGTGCCTATGCCTGCTGAGTTGCCTGCGCTGGGGAGTTCGCAGGGTAAGAAGTTGTGAAGGCAACACCAAAGGCTTCGCGAATTGGTTTCACAACCTTTCATACACTCTAAGTTAGCCTTCGTGAATTGGCTTCGCCTGGGTGAAATCCATCGCCATAGATAATGTATCACACACATGCCTTCGCAAACATTTGGTGAGTTTACAGTCTAATCATGTCTAATCTATGTTTTATCAATTAAGAAACCCTACTCAATTGATTTCGACAGTTGCGTCGCTCCAACAGAAGCCTAGTTGAACACCGCGCCATATAACATGCAGTAAACAAGCACTGTCCATTGTTTGAGCAATTGCTTGCAATTGCCTCATCGGCACGGAGCAAGAATGACTATGACTATGGCAGCACGGGTGAATTCGCAGCCCACCAGGGCCATTCCAACATGACTCTTTTCACTGCCCTTGTTGGGGACCAAGGAGCTTCAATGTCGAAGGTGAAGAGCTGCATCGTCTCCTCGGTGATGCCCGTCGCTTCCACTACCCAACAAAAGCGAAGGAAAACTTATGTGTGATTGAAAGTTCTTAAGAGCCCTTCCTAACAGCCATGCGTACATGTTTGGCCATGCTAACCAGAACTCGTAGTCACAGCGGTGCTATTCTGCAGCTATGGTCAAAAAGCAGGCCTTGGTTCATAGAGAAAAGCATGTGAGACCTTTGGCCACCACTGCTCCACTGGTATACGCCTTCAACATCGGCCTGATCCCATTAATCCCACTGCTTTCTGGGCCAAGTCTCTAGAAGCACCGAAGTGGGTGGAACCCACGGCACCTGGGCCCCACCAAGGGCGCCGAATTGCTGCAGCACCACTAAACACCTCAGGAGTAAATATTAAAAAGAACATAGTTAAATTTAAAAAACAACGTAATAGTGATGGCCTCCAATCTAAGAGCGATGGCCTCCAACCTAATAACAGCGATGGCCTCCTTCCATGGAGGGTTCCTGTGATCAGAGAACTGATGACTGAACATTCCAATGCAAGCAAGGCAGTTGTGAGGGAAGGATCGTGCTAGTGACAAAAAGAGCTCCGATGTCCGGGCTGTCACCGAACAACCAGCCACTTCACCGTATGTCATGCGAAGATTGACGATTGTCCCCTCAGTGCTCCGAAGCAGCACAAACAACTCCAGCCGTCTACCAAGACAAATTGGATGCAAACGGCATCATAAGTCCGTGCTTCAGCTAACCATCGAGCATCCACTGCACGACTGGTCTTGAATCTTTAAAAGCATCTAGGCCCTAGAATCTAGGCCGCTCCTTCTTGCTGCTACCGAGCCACATGGAGGTTACAATTCCTATCTGCAGCAGAGAGTGGGACTGCTTGGCATAGGAGCGGTTCAAGACAGTGTATGCCTCGATCATGATACAAAATGGCCGGGCCAAGGAGGATTTTCGCCTAATTGCGTGCCCGACTAAAGTGTTGCAGGGCAGGGAAGATGCCGGCAAAAGATTCATCTGCAACCCGGGCATGATAAGTTTGGCTCGGGGTTGCTGCAGCTGAGCCCCAAACCGTGATTGGCTCACTTCCGCTGCTACACGCCAACAGCCACAAAACCCATGAAGAGCACCAGTCGTCAGACATTGGCTACAACTTTTCCCCTGCAGAGTTGATGGTTCGGGTCTTCTAGACTCGATGTGACCGATGTTCACCATTTATACAGTGTGTTTGATCCCGGTGGCCATCCTAGTGAGCATTGGCATTTCCCGCAGCTAAACCGTTGGGTGACAACTCGTATTATATACATCCAAGTTGCCCAGACCACCACGATGGGATACAAGGTGCAAATAACTCCAACGATCAGCATCTCAGTGCCTTGACAATCCTGAGGAATTGGGCTGCACACAACGCACTGGAAGGAGATGTGCGCAAATTTAAAGATCAGACTTTCCGAACCCACACCCCCGTCACAGCGGCTCACACTGCAAAGACCTACCAAGGCGGAATTTGACAGAAATGAATCTCTTGCAAGATTACGCCAGCATAGACCCCAACTAAGATTGGAATCGTTGCGTTCAAGCTGCCGCGAGTTCGCAAAGCCCCGGAAAACATCACATGACATGGTCCGTGGCACCCTGCAGCAGCAGCACCACCACCCAAGCTCCCAAGTGCACACAGCAGAGGCACCCTGCAGCGGCACCAGCCACCTGCACCCTCCAAGCTCCCAAGTGCGCACAGCAGCCGCAGCGCACACAGCAGCGGCACCCTGCAGCAGCACCAGCACCCAAGCTCCCAAGCGCGCACAGTAGCGGCGCCCTGCAGCGGCACCAGCACCCAAGCTCCCAAGCGCACACAGCAGCAGCACTGCAGCGGCACCAGCACCCAGGCTCCAAAGCTCACACACGCAGCTCTTCCTTAGATACTTGAAGTAAGAACCCCAATAGCTCACGACTTCGTCTTGACTAATCTACTGGTTATTACAGTACTTCCTTTTTCATGATAAACCAAATCCCCCCCGGCTCATCGCTCCAAGTCCTTCCACAGGACAAGCTGGAAAACCGCGGAGCGCGTACGATCAAGGCAAAAATGTGTGTATCATCTTACATACTTACACTTATAGTAATCTACGATCAAAGGTTCACCAAGACCCTGTCCTGCCCGCAATCAAGATCCTTCCAGCTGTTGACACGCCAACTACTCGTTTCCCCAGCATGAAGTTCCTAGTAATTGTTGAAGGTCCCAAACCCACCTCATGGGCGTCCCAACATTCGCAGCGGTTTCTTGCTGAATTCCCAATAGCTCAAATATTTAGTGTCTTGTTTTTACAAAACAACCCTGATCGGCCCACGCGGAGCTTCCTGACGCCGAGGCGCTACACACGTGGATTCTGGCCCTGGGATCCGGCCTCACGGGTCTGAGCCACTCCCCATCCAACACCTAATAGATCCTAATGGCGATAGCCTCCAACCCACTTACCTAATTAATAGCGAGAGCATGCGATAGCTTATCTTCCCAGAGAGCGGGGGACGGTGGACCTTGGGTAGAACATGCTGCGGGAACTCTTAAGTTTGAGAGAAATCTGTGTTCGTTGTGCCTGTCCAGTGGCATTGTTTGGAAAACGTAGCTTCTCGTTTACTTGTGTAAACCCATGCATTTTGCCATAGCAACTTGCGGAGGTCAGCGGTCAGCAAAATGATGTTGAATGACTCTATAAATAGGGGATTAGCTGCCGTTAGCAGCCCAATACACAAAGCCAGGCTGTATAGCTTCCAGACTTCACCGAGACGACCAATCCTGAAACATAGAATCCGCCTGTTCAGTCCTGTCTTACCCAGGCCTGGTAGACAGCGGCCACAGAGCAGTCCGTCTCGGCCAGCAGCGCAGCCACCCAGCTCACCCTCCAAGCAGCGTGCGGAGTCTGCACAGCGGAAGACAGAAAACCTCATCCGCAACGGCGAGACCTGACAAGGGTCTAGAACTTTCACTGCAACTAATCAGTTATAGGCGACAGACCTGAGAATCAAGGGTAGCACTTGAAGCCATCGTGGTCAATGCAGTTTGCAGGCAGACATCATGTTGAGCAGATGTGCAAGGTGAGTCACCAAGAAGGGGTTCTCGCGTGAACATGTCTCCAAGGGCACAAACACCCCCAAGTCCTGCCATAGAGTCAATGCTTGTGTCGCGCTATTGTTCTGGCTTTATTGGCTAATGAGCTAATCAAGTTGTTCGCTTTCTCCAATGATTGAAACCCTAGGCGCAAAAGCAAAAGGTCACAGGGGGGTTGCTTTGGGTGTGGAAATTGATTAGGTCAACACACAAAAGGAGTTGAAATCAGGGACGTAATCTGCTCGAGTATGCAAACCATGTGACAAAGGTCCAAATCCATCCACCCCCATACATATCAGCGCTGCCACATCTATCCCCAATTGCTCTTAGACGAACTTCCACCCATTGTGGAAATGCCCTCAACCCAGACAAGAGAACTTGTTGTCTTGCTGCACCACGTAGTATCCTCGGCAAGGATGAGTATTCACAAGTTCCGAAGCCGTGTGTTTGTTGAAGTGTACAGTGTGCAGTACCTTATACTGTTCGTCGCCCGCCAGTACTAAGAACACGCAATTAAGTTTAGCGCTCCAGCAACTTAGAGGCAAATTGCCTTCGTGTCGAGGGGTGGCGTGTAGGAGTAAACTTTGAGGATCATGTCAATATGAATGGTAGGGCGATGGTGGGCATCTCAAGGCTCTTTCAAACAGGTGTGGCGGGCCTTGAAGGCTGTAAAAATCATCGGTTGGTCCTTCCGCCCATTCCGGTTTTCTATGCCAAATCTCCGGCTTCCTGACGCGGGGGATGTTCACCACCTGCCAAGCGAGGACTGGCGGTGAAAATATGTTGCTTGGTCGGTCCGAATTTCAGGTCACGAGTCACGAATGTTCAGTTTATGAATATGGCCTAACCTACTAGCTTCTTTCTTACTCCTAGTAGCAAGGCCAGGAGCCCCTAGTAAGTAGCGTCCTTGCTCCTAGTAGCGATGCCCTTTGCTCCTAGTAGCTTCTTGTTACTAGTCGGAATGGCCTCCAACCTAATTATGATTATGAACAAATTTGATTGGTTCCATGGGTCCGTGGGGCATGCAGTCATAGTCGGAAATTGCAAGATTCCCGGATGGGCAAAGCTTTATCTCGACAATATGCATACTGATGTCTTGCAAGATACTTCAAACACAAGCATCCTGAAGAAATATGGGACAGTATCCTTCGATGTGAAAAACACTGACATACCGCCTCTCTGACGCACTATAGTGGTGTTGCTGTTGACCTTCTCCACAAAGCTGCACTCCATAGTTGGGGGTGAAAGGCTAATGACTACCACCCGCAGAACAATCCCGGAGGCCCATCACGTCGTAAGATGTCATGAAGGCACACTAATCAAGAACAACTTATGTAAGGGAGACCTCTTTCTGCCATGTCTAGCAAGTTTGAGGATAGAACTACTGCACGACAAATGTTTGATTGAGCATCCCTGCTTCAAGACACCCCAAGTCTTCTTGTATGCCAGGCCTTTACACAGCAACCCCTCAAAGCAGCGGCGGCAGTGCCTCTGCCTGAAAAAAAGAACAACACACGGCTCATGACATGTGTTGAATACTCGTCCCAGGTCCATGTTTAAACAAAGCAAACAAGTCTGCGAAAGAGGTTGGCAGCAAGCTTCGTGCTGTTGTTGATCCTTTCAGTAGCTACAAGTACTGGGGCCTAGCTGTGTCAGTGTCTCCTTGCATCAGCTTCTTCTTATGTTTGATTCCGTGGGTGTGCGTGAAACAGCAAAAGCTGAGTGCGCTCACACCCTTCATATACAATAAGTGTACGTTCGGTCTTTTCTCAATTTCGGAACTGCAAAAGCCACTATGTTTTTCCTTTGAAACCAGGTGTGAGTCAACAGTCAACACATCATCGCGCGGCCGTTTTGCAGAATAGCAACACATCCCTAATAGTTTGCTTGTGCTTGATGAAAACAAATAAAACATCACGCAGTATCTGCTGTATAAAGGCTCCGCCATCAGGCCATGTCACTCTTGGTAGGTTCCTGCTGGACATTCGCAATCTTTCTCTTCGTTCCTGATGGATTGACATGAGAGACTCAAAATGAGATGCACCGACCAGTCAACCAAAGTAATGAAATCCTCCGATTAATAAACCCCCCCCCCCCCACATGGTAGGTCAACAGGGTCAAGAAGGTCTGAGATACCACTCATGAGGTCCACCTCCCCTGAAATATCGGCTCAGGGAGCCATCGTAGTCGCAGTCGTCGTCGGTAGTAGGTAGTAGGTAGTAGGTAGTAGGTAGTAGGTAGTAGTCACAACAAGTTTAAACAAGCACAAAGAAAAGGCCAGGGACACAGGATCAAATTAATAGGGGGTAGTAGTGCAGATTATTGATGGGGGACCGGCCCTTGTGAGGGGTACCCTTTGTGAGCTTGTCAAATGATGGTTTTTAATTGTTTTTTAATAAGGCAATTTATAGGCCCTGAGCCCTAGACATTTTTTATGATTTCATCAAACATGTAGTAGGTAGTAGGTGGTGATGGTGGTGGTGGTGGTCGTGGTAGTAGCACGTAGCAGTAGCAGTAGCAGTAGCAGTAGCAGCAGCAGCAGCAGCAATAGCTAGCACTAGTAGCAGTAGCAGTAGCAGTAGCAGTAGTAGTAGTAGTAGTAGGAATAGTAGTAGTAGTAGTAGTAGTAGTAATACGAAAAATTGACCTGGTTGTGGGCTCGGATTAACTGGGGGGGGGGGGTTCTGATGCCCAACTAGAAAATTAGGGGGTGAAATAGGCACGAATAATACTTTTAATTTGGGCAATTTTTGGTGGGCTTGTGTCTTCGGATTAACTAGGGGAGGTTTATTAATCGTAACTTTGCATTATATGTGTATATATTAATTCATAAACATATTGTTCGGTTGGATGCATTCGGAAACTATTCTTCTGATCTTCACAGCATTCTTCAACAGCTAGACTAGGCAGGCAACTTTCTTCAGACACTTTACTGTTGATTAGAAACTAAGTAGGCCGGTAGTCCTCTGAAGCTAGGCCTAACCATGCACTTGTTTTATATAGATTGTTTTTTGCGGGTGACTCTTGGACAGAAATTTCGAAACCATTGAGCTTTCAAAGCCCTATTGATGACTCTGACCACACTTAGGAGGGAACAGCTCACACTCCACAGGCTTTCCACGTTTTCAGGCACGCCGAGTTCGGGGAGAATGCTTGCAATTGTGGTTTGTTTTATGGGGAGAGTGGTTGGATCTGCAAGAACAATCAACCAAGGGCAGAAAACGGTTTGCACCTGAGCTTCAAGGCCATCCTATGTCAATGACAATGACATGTCTATTTCATTTGTGTGTTTAACTTGTTGAGCACGTTGCACGCTTGTCCTGGAACAAACCTGGTCGAAGTAGAGACTGATGTTTAACGGAAGTAAACGCAATCCGGTGTCGCTGGGTTGTGCCCTGCGCCACGAGTGACGCCCACTGCTGCACCAAGTCACGCCGCTTTGAAGACAGTCGTGCTCCCGACAATCACATCTTCACACCTCCTAGCACGGAAGTACATTACGACCTGAAAACTGCCGGTAAACTAGCAGCGAGTTGCTAGGGGCTTGATTCTGAAATTCAAGGTTTCTGGGTTTAACACTTGGCTGCCCCAGACACCTTGACAACCCAGAGCGCAACGGTGTCTTTCTCCTGCATATGGTGCCGCCAGTGAAGTTCGCAAAGTTCCCAATGGAGCAACGCTCGCACGTCTCCCGACCAGATTCATTCGCAAATGTTCCCGCAGGACAAAGTTGTGGCATCCTAGGAGTTCGAGACGCACTCTGAGCGGTGTCTTCGGTGACTTGGTTTGACCCTGTCACTCTTTACAGCACGCATAACATTATGGAGGTTCCAAACTGCTCAAAAACTCTCCTGCCACTTTCACCCACAAGCCATGCTGCGCATGAACTGCTCACGAGACCAGGCAAAGCAATACTGCCCACGGTCCCGGGTTCGAGGTTCATGAAAACATTCTGGCGCGCTTTAATGCGGATGGATTCCGTTCCAGGCCAACCATCCGATTTTACAACGCACTATCTGACCTGCGTTCAGTCAAAGGTTGGAAAAGTTCATCTCTGCAAAAGGTTGGCACACACCGCGTCACTCTTCTATTTTTCGCGTCGGGGTGACTTGCATTGGAATGGAAGGAAACCGTGTGGGCGCAGCATGAGAAGCTCCCACTATGGTTTCACACTTGTCACTCACACAGAGTCTCAATTAAGGAGACTGTGTGAGAGTGCACACCATGGCCGGCAGAGGCCTTGGCCATTTGTAACTTGGGGTGGCACGGGGGCGGGAAATCATGTCACAAGACTTGGGTGGAGACTGGGGTACGACAACAACTTTTCAGAGAATTCTTCACGCGCCAAAACCTGCCACTCCGAAACATGTCCACCGACTCTGCCAAAGGTTGGCGCGCAGCGCGTATTTTCCGCGTCGGGGCGCTTGCGTTGGAATGGAAGGAAACCGTGTGGGCGCAGCATGAGAAGCTCCCACTACGGTTTCACACTTGCCGCTTCACACAGAGTCCCCCACCGCTGCTTCATGAGTTTTTTCGCCCCCAACGCTGTGATGAAGTTGGCTATAGAACCCAGATTTGGTTGTAAAAGATGCCAATCGGGGGTTAGGCCTAGGCGGCGCCAATGTCCTTGTTCAAGCAGCAAACGGACGGTGGGGTGGAAGGAACCCATTCATACCATGGTCTAGTTTCCAAAACTGCGCAAATCAAGCCTGCAAGCAATCACAAATAATTGATGTCTGATTGTCTGGACGCTGCCTTGACCAAACTCCGAAATCCAGCTTGGTGGTCCAGAAACCAAATGACGTCTTTAGACTGAAATAAAGAAGGCTTGGCCTGGGCAACAAGAGGCACAGCTAACAGCTCTAGCAAATTAATGTGTGTTTTGCGAGGCAGCCAGGCATGAAAAATGTCCGTAGGCGCATCCACCGCATCACGCCAAATTTGCGCACCACCATGAATCCAAACGCCAATGCGACAGCCACTTGGGCACGGGGCTTCAGTGGAAGCGTCTGTGTCACCACCACAGGTTTCGAGACAGGGAGAAAAATACATTGGAGGCACACGGCGGAAGGCTAACTGCAAAATTTCCAGCGATTTCTCCAAGCTTACAGTAAGTTGATGGTCTGTGTCCCAGCACTGGCGGGCAATGAGGGCAGACATAGCACCTGAAAGGGGCTTCCCAGAAAGTGTGCCCTCCAACCAGCTCAACACAACCCGAAGTTTGGACGCCTCACCTGAAATAAGAGAATGCGAACGTAAAGCTGTAGCAATAAGGTGTTCAGCTTTGGAAATGACTTCGGGAGACCCTTGCATGCTTATGGTGAAATCCAGAAAAACACGACGCAAATCTGTCAGCTGGCCCAAAAATTTGGGGACTTGGGTCATGGGCTGTCTTTTTGCGCTGATTTCGACCCCAAACAGTTGCAAAAAAAGCACATACAAAAGCTTGGTCTGCGCGGCCAAGTCTGCATACTCCAGTTGAATAGAATCACCAAAATAATGGCCTCCTACCAAAAGAAGAACTCTGCGTGCCACAGCAGTCAGCAGCTGGGAGCACGGTTAAATTGATTTACTGCAGAAGCTAAACCAAACGGCATGCCATATAACTGCGCATACACTCTAGACTTAGAGGTTGGATGCACCAACGTGATAATGTTGACAGCCTCATGTGCCTGAGTAACGTGGTTCTGCCGATAACCTTTCCAGAAATCGTCTGCGCCAACAACAACTTGAAAATAAGGGTGCGCTACCCGTAGGTCAGCAGGCTGCGCAAGCGGCTGGGACAACCACAAATGTTGAAGGAGCTGCTGCCCCAAAAACTTTACCGCTTCTCCTTCTTGTTCACCGATGGCGACCTGGACTTCTCCTTCAACTTCTTTTTGCCGCCAGGACTGAGGCCCCTCACCTTGTCCTTCTTTCTCCGCTTCCTGCTGCGCCCTCTTCTCCTGGAGCGACTCTTGTCTTTTTCTTTGGCCTCCTTGAGCTCGTCCCTTTTCTCTCGCAAGTCCTTCAAGTCTTCCACTGCTGGCCTCTCGACAGCCACTAGGTTCCTGCACCAATGTTCTTCCTCCTCGTGGCCTTTCGCAAGTCTCACCTTCTTGACGTGGATGAGGTCCTCTGCCACTCGATCCCCGGAACACATAGGGCCGCATAGATGCCCGCGAAGATGTTCCCCTGGAACTCCTGTACAATGCTTGAGAAGCGACTCCAAGTCGGTCCCCGTTGCTTGCAGGATGACGTGAGTGGCCTCTTTCTCGACCTCGAGCCCCCGGATGACTCCTGCTACCCGGCATGCAGCCCCGAAGTAGGACCCTTCGTCGATGACCAATTCCACGCCCTTGGCTAGTTCGGCCACGGGAACATCTGCTCCCTGAACCGCCAGGCCGCGAGCCCAAAGCTCCCGTGGGACAGGATCTGCATCGCCTGGATGATGGCCATGCTGGTCGCCGTAGAGCTCCTCCGCGAATTGGTCTCACCCTCATAGCCAACCTGGCCTTGGCCTTGGCATGTGCCTTGGCTTTGGCCGCTGCTTTTCCTTGTGCCTTGGGTGGCATTGTTTCTACTGCCGACGGTAGGGCCAATACCGGACCCTCTCACGATGCTTGACTCCTTTTGTGCCTCTCTTCTTGTAAGGCTTCCGCTCGATCGACCTCGATCTCTCCCGATGACGATATCGGTCTCGTTGCTCACGATCTCGCCCACGGTGTGGTGGTGGGTGATCTGGACTCCTGGCCGGTGGAGGTGGTGGCAATTCGTGACGCCTGGAAGGCGGTGACCCTGTCCCTTTTGGGGCGGGCCTCAACTCAAACTTCCTTGGGTTCTCTTGCACCTGCTCGTCCTTCTCCTCCTTTGTTGTCGTAAGGTCCTCAACAACACCACCAGTGCTCCCAGCACCGGCCTCAACCTCCTCTTCTGCCTGAGCCTTCTTCTTCTTGCGCTTCTCCTTCTTGGTCGACGGTCCACTCTTATGCTTTCTCTTCCGCTTCTTCTTCTTCTTTGTCTCTGTCACTTCACCTTCTGCCTCCTTCTCTGACAAAGGGATGGCCTGAACGGTCGCAACCGGCTCTTTCTCCTCTGTATGCTCCTCCTTGGTGCGCTCCTTGAAGTTCCCAGGCGGTGCTTCCAGCACCGGTTCAGATGCCGCTGCAGGAGCTGATCCTGAAGCTCCCGAACCTGGAGTGCCCTCGCCCTCGAGACCTGGTGGATTGGACTCCGCCTTCTCCTTCTTCAAGATCGGGACGGCCAGCTCACTCAGGTCCTCTATAGCCCCACAGGCTGATCTCAGGATTTGGATAATCCCCTCCTCCTGACTTCTCAAGAAGCAGCCAGCCCTGAACAGATTCTGTATGCGGCACAGTCCTGCAAGAGGGGCAAGTAGTAGGGCGAGCGCTCCAGAAATGGCAACCAGTGCAATGCATGCACCGTCGAGAACTTGCTGAGAACCGAGACACTATGGGACAAAACTAACACGTGCATCTTAACCACCGGGGG